GCCTACCCTGCTGAAATCCATAAACCACCAAGGTTGCCAGCAGTGTGGAAATCTTTCAGCAAGCGGGGCTTTCTTCCCAGCGGCGTGCATCGAGCGCTGCAGACTGTTGAAATAGGACTGATAGGGTCCGTATTGGCGACATTAGGTTTGGATTATGAAAGGAGGAGGAGGCGGCGGTGGGGCAGGTATTTGCTTTGGCCCTTTCATCCTTTCTGGCAGGGGAAAAAAGGACCTGTGCGACACTGGTCTCCAAAGAGAGATCAGCTTACTTTACAGTATCACTCTCCGGAGCGAGTCTGTCAGCCCTAGAGATCAAAGCACTGAAGGGACCCATCCCAAGGTCCTTCTGTTGCTGGATAGAATGGGGTTGGGGAGGCGACCCCTGCAGCAAGCAGAAGGGCGTTCATACAACTGGAAGAGGCATTTGGAGAGGAACCGGGGTTGTGGGAACAGGGAGGCACAAGAGACCAGAATCCCAACACAGAGACTTTTTAGCCCCTGAGAAGGGAATACGAAGTTGCCTATTTGGCCGCATGCCACAATCAGATTCACCCCTTTAAAATTAAGAGTACTATCCTTTTCCCCCTCCTGGCTCTGCTCTTGCGCCTTTTAAAAGCACCCATTCTACATAATGACGTGGCCGGGGAGGCTTTTCTCACTTTATCTCTGTGCCAAGAAAAGTGCTGATCTGTCAAATATCTGTGCCTCAAGCAGCTGCTGTTCAAAGGCACAGGAGTGGGGCAGTATTGTTGTGTTTTTAATGCCAATATTAACTCCATAGCAGTCACATAGCACGATTAAGAAGCTCTCTTGCTGGTCTCTTACGTACAACAGAGCATTTATTCGGCAAGGAGTGAAATATTGTGTGCTTTTGATTTCATTTATCTTAGAGGCATGGAGCTGGTTAGCATTCAGATTCTCTTTTGACAATGAAAGTGCTTCCAAAGTTGTTCGACACGGAAGCCTTGCTCTTTAAGATGACCTACTCCCATTTCTATTCCTCTGGTCTTCAAGGCTGTTATACAAAACACTTCCCACCACCATGAGTGGGTGTTGATTTTATACCCCTCTTTCCATGCATACTGAAGAAATGCTGCATCATGAGAGCGTAAGGGTAGAATTACAGGAGTTTGCTCGTCCCCAACCAGGTGCCTTCTAGATGAACATGACTACAAATCCCACCAATCTCCAATCAGTGAAACTAACATTTCTCTGACCGGGTGACCTTCGCTCTGGAGGAATAGGACACAGCATAAACTTTCTATATCATTCTCAATCCCTGTTATCTACTCATTTTTTCCCTTCTTCCTCTGTCTAGTGGCACTCCAGGTTAAACTCACAGCATTTAGGAAAAGGGCAGGTGTGTGCTCATACATGTGCATGTGTGTACGCACTACTGCCTTATTTAAAAGCCGCCTGTACTGCTTTTCAACCAAAATTCCCAGGGTATTACAAAACAAGTAAAAGACAAATACGATGGCCAGAATCTATTGGTCTACCTCCACTGCATCTGTGATTGACTTTTCTCCCTGCAACCACTGTGACTGCTCTAAAAATCTTGATTTGGAGCTCTGGGAAACCCTCTGGAAGAGGCCTTTTGGGCGCCACAGAAGGCTGCAAAAGAGAGGGAGGGGAAGCCCCCATTTCCAATGGTGTTGGATACAAAAACATGGCCCTATGGTCTTGGCCCAAGTTTTTAATATTCCTTTATTCGTTTGCCCTAGAAAATAATTTTGTAAAAATACCTGTGGCACTGGACAGCGAATAGGAGGGAATTCCACAAAGGGGTACCCCATTGATAAGGGGGTAACCATGTTCTGTCACCACCTAGGTTACCTCAGATAGTGGGGATTTGTGGAGAAGATCCCCTCCAGACATGGAGGCTGTACAAGCTGCAGAGCAAAGCAGCAGAGTGCTGTTATACTATGGCTGTTCAAGAGACCAGCTGCCAGTGCCTCTCCCTGACTGGCACCCTTCCAAAAGATTGAACTGTGTCTACACCAGCTGGTTGGGATGAGAAGGGTAGCTTCACAAACTAGTTCCTGGGCTCACTTTTTTCTTCTTCTTTCCTTTCAAATTGTTTGTCTTGTGTGTCAAATCTTTTGGATTGTAAATCTGAGTGTAGGTTTTCTCACTGCTGACATTTGCGAGGCATTCTTTTTAACTAAAGAGCAAAATTAAAATATTTTCAGTAAGAGAATAATAAATATATGATCAGATTTGTATGCAAGATGGCATTCTTTCATGCAGTACTTATGGCTTTAAAGATAAGCATCAATACTTTGAATTGTGGTTACAAATAGACTGGGAGCTATGGGAGTTACTCCAATATTAGAGATTCAAAAAAAAATAATCTTCTAACTGGTCCCTGCAGTATATTGTAGAAACTGACATTTTTGTACAATCTTCAAATGCACTTCCATGGCAAAGCTTGGAAATAGCACACTAGCATTAACGCTTTAATGCTGCAATCCCAATTTTGTATTAAACAAGAAGACAAGCATAATGCGTCTAATCTTTCCAAAACAATGTTTTAAATGTAGCATTTAAAGCAACATTTTAATTACTTTCCAAACATTATCTTTCAGAACTTTGATGCTTGCCTTCCCTTTAAGACAAGCTTGGGGAAAATCCTTTAAGACAGAAGGAATGACTTTAACCTCCTTCATCTTCTTTGTTCATGTTGGAAACAATCCAATGGTGTTTCCGGAATGGAAGGATCAGCCTCACATAGTTTCCAAGCTCTGCCCCATGTACCGTGCATTACAGCAGTCAATCCTACATGCTACCATAGTATATATATATGGATAAGCTATTCCCATCCAGGAAAGCCCACATTTTTATTCTTCTTTAATTTGTATCTCCTTTTAATGTTCCCCCACATCCACAGTCATTTTTTTCAGCTGCCCTGGTATCATTATAAGGCTCTCTGGTGGAAATGAACCTTGCAGGATCCCATAATCCCTGTGACTTAGAACTTTATTCAAATGTAGCACCAAAAATAGCCCACTTTTGCTCTAAGGGCTGCATTAAAGGTCACAAGCTGGCTAAGTATAGGCTGTCACCAAGTTGTTCCTATATATAAACAACTGTTGAGCTCTGAAAATGACCATCTGTTAATAGGCTCATATTGGCTCAGATCAGAGCATTTGAATGCACAAGAGGCAGGGTGGATTTTTGCTGGAGAAGTCACTGCCACAAGAAGGGTGGGAAAGCTGCCATCATAAATGACTTTTTGAAAGGACCAGGTAGATGTATCTGGAAGAAAAATGGCTGCCACTAGACAGACCCCACAAAATTTAGAAGAGTAGCATTCCTTTTCAATGACAGTTTACCTTTGGTGATGATAAATACCAGGGAACTAAGCTTGGGGGAAAATCCTTGTTTAGGTTTTCCCTCAAATCCTCAGCCAGGATGGCATCCTAATGCCAGGATAGCGACATTTCGCCTGCTCATGAACTCACAGGGTCATCTGGCTGGCTTACCACACTCAGGATATGTCTGTGTGAAGATAGTGCTGATAAGGCCAACCATTTCCCTCCTTCTAACAGCAGGCTCAGCAGATGAGTGCCAATAGGATTGTAGCTAAAATCTTGAGAGACAAAAAAATGAAGATCAGCATGCTTGGAGGGGAACAGAAGCCGAGTTTGCAGGAATGCCTGCCCACAGAGAATACCTTTTAGAAAATAAAAGTGAATATCAAAATCCATCCTCACCCTCCCAATTACAATCTTTTGGAGCTGAGCATGCTCACTAAGTACAGAATATAAAGTAAGGATTGAGGAAATTAAAAAAAAAGATCTAAGTGGGAGAAAGAACAAATGGTATATCTTAGGAGTGAAATGACTGGCATCCTTAGCACTCTCTTCATTACAGGAAAATGCACTGCAACATTTTGTTGTAGATTCCACTTGCGTATGTCAGGAACCAGATTTGAATGACAGCTGCCGACGGGTAAATTCATATAGTTTCAGATTCTCACGTTGACATCCCATGTCCCTTTCGAGATGCTGGTGGGGTTCAGATACATTTGACTACTTGATTTCCAGCTGGTTGATAACATGTCTGTGCCTGCCAAGGATGCTACAGAAACCAGTGCTTGACTGCCATCAGCTGGTCTGAGGCTTGGGGATAGATTTCAGCATAAGTCTTTTGCCTGGGAATAAACAAGTCTTTACTCTTGAACAAGTTTTGGCTGTCCAGCCAGGAGTTTCTGAGGAGCAGATCTACGTTGTGGAAAGCTATCAGGAACCGGAGAGTGGAGGGACTCTTTTTTCCCTCATGTCTGTTTTGCTCTTGCCAGTCTCTCTTTAATTAGGGATTCATTTTTTCCAAGAAATAATTACTTGGTTATTTGTTGAATTGCCCACCTCCTCTTCCTCATCATCTGTGAGTCAATCTTTATTGCCTGTGACCACGGGCTGTTACAGCGTACTAGATGGAATGTAACAAAAAGGTGATAAAGTAAAATATGTGGTATTTTTTAGTCTCTTTAGAACTAGTAACATGCTGCCGAGGGATTGACAGTTCCTTAAAATTAAAGATTAAGATACTTTAAAGTCACCAGTACATAAATTATCTAACAGTCACTGCAAATAATACTCCCACATAGATCATTTATGGTTTATTGTCTCCCGGTAATTGTGTCCTTCTGTCCTGTGGGTATTTGTCTGAGTTACGCAGGAGAACACATGCTAGAACTTTTCTCCTTGGACCCACAAAAAGGACAAAGCAATAAATAGTATATAGGATTTTCAAACTAACTGCAGCCAAATACGCCTTTTCCTAAGACATCTTAAAATAAAATGTGACAATGCTCAGAATGTGAGTTTGGCCTTTTCCACAAATAGAGCTGGTAAACTGCCTGGCTCTTCTGGCTGTTGTTACAGCAAAAATGAAAACAACGAGGTCTATACCACGGATCAAGCGAATAAAGGAAAATGGTGATTAAGGCCAAAAACATCCTGACAATTCTCTTGTCTTTTTCTCCCCTCATCCAGAAAGGGAATCTCGAGAACATGAAGAGCCAGTCACATCGGAGATGGCAGAGGAGACCTTCCAACCCAAAATATACAGAAACAAGGGACATGGACGCATCTCTGAACTAAAAGCAGATGCCTTGAAGAAGGAGCGCAGAAAGAAGCTGACTGTGTCTAAGTTACTGAGTGGGGCAGAAAACACTGCACACCCTCGGGTTGCTGCCCCTGAACTGAGACCAGACTTTGAGCTGGTAAATGCAGACCTTCTCAAAACTCCATATCAGTGATTCTTGTTTATGCTCTGTTGCTTCTCTATCTCCTGTCTTTTCTTCCCTAGTTTTTATACTTTCTGGATAGTTCCATTATGACTCTCTTTCAGAAGGCAAATAATTATGGAGAGGGAGGGTGCAACAAGATGACCTAAGTGTCCAGTATCACCTTTTTTTCTTTAATCACCCCCTTGTCTCCTGTGTGATTTGTTTAAGCCACTTAAAAATCTTGAGAAACTGAAAACCTACTTACTTCTCGTCTGCAGAGGGGAATGGAAAGGAAGTTTTCCATTTTATTTTAATTGTTACTAACTAACAAAGTGAAATAGCAAATGCATTGAGAAGCATTGCTGGTGTGTTAGAGCAACAATTTAAAAGAAATGGAAAACTTCCTGTCTCTTTCTCTTTTCAGAGGAGCAAGAAGGAAGCTTTCCATTTCTCAAGATTATTAAACGGCTTAAGCAGGGGACAGCTTAAGCCATCTGTGTTGGTTCCATCCCAGCAATCACATATATGGTAGTTGAACCAAAACAAAGCAGTCCTACTCACACACACACAAAATATAGCCACCGACAGGGACCCAGAAAGATGTGGGTAAGCATCAATCAGCTATGGGCTGGTTAATGATGGCATGTATGTTGTGTAGTTGTTGGGAAAAGGAGCGAACCAACCCATACCGAACCCAACCCAAACTGTGGGACAAAAGCCTGTCTGAGTACACCTGGAGTTTGTAATGAGGTTCATAACTGGTAATGGTATTTTTCTAGTTGTTACTTTAAGCCATGTGATGATCTCTTCATCTTCAGCTGTTTGCCACAGGGACCAAACAATTCCTGGACCATTGGAAAGAAGCTCTCAGTGAGACCTCCTTTCAAGAGATTAGAAAATATATGCTGGATAAATTTGGCCTTCATTTGTAAGCCTGATCATTGGGATGTAAAATGGAAATCCTGCTCTCAGAGGGGAAATTAGTTATTCACAGGGAATATGCTTTCTCCTTACTGTCTACTCTCAACACTTAACTGCTCTCTTTCTCTCTGCTTTTAGGGCCCTTGTCGGAGACAGATGGAAGCATCACTGCAGGAGCTCAAATCAAGCCAGCGAATGATCCCCCGTGCTGTTCACCTTCCCAACTGTGACAGGAAAGGATTCTACAAGAGGAAACAGGTAAAGGTCCTATGGGAATCAAGACCATATGCTTTGCAAACTAGGGGCAGGGTGGGGAAGTCATCCCTTTTATAGTCTTCTGGACTGGTGTGTGTGTGTGTGTGTGTGTGTGTGTGTGTGTGTTCACCTTTGGAATTGCTCCAAAGAAGCCCCAATCTGGACCTGAATACTCCAAAATGTGTGTGTGTGTGTAAAATCAGCTGCTTATATCTGTAGATTAAGCAACTGCCAAAGTATAGGAGAAGCGTAGACCAGTTTCTGCATCCTTCTGCCCACTGGGTGAAAAAATCAAGCATGCCAGAAACCAAGCTCTGCTTAATTTAGTTTTCAGCTTCATCCTTATCCACCAGGCTGGCTTTTTCTTCTTCTTTTAAGTATCTTCAATTAGTTGTGGTTTCTGATCCCTCTGTTGAGGATTATCAACAGAGTTCTGTAGGGCTATGACTGAGATTATAGTTATAGTTAGGGTTAGAATTTAAAGTAAATGGCTTGTAGTTCTTCAAACCATTGAGAATCCCAGTGTCTCCCTTCCTGAGTGGGGCCAGCTGGCTGAGAACCAGAGTACTTCAGCATCATGGTCTACCAAAGTGAACCTCTGCTATCCCAATAGATTACATGGGATGGGACAAAAAATAGTAGTACACCAGTGACAAAATGCCATAGATTTGTTTGGACAGTTTTTGTCTCGCTGTTTTGTGGATGAGGAAAAGGAAAGGAGAGCAAATTGTACATTACCAGTGGCTGAAAGTTAAGAACAGTTTATAACAGTTCAGGCGACAACGTCATGAACCATTACAATGTAGGTCTACCTCTGTGTGGATTCTGGAAGAAAATGTGATTTGTGGGTTACTAAAATGGTCCATCCCAGTAGTGTGGTTTAATCAATGCTCTGTCATTAAGGGCAATGGAAAGTTAAAACCTTCTGAGTCTTCTTGGGAGAGATGTCAGTGCACCTCCACCTTATCATTAGTCTTCTTTGTTCCCCTCTCTAGTGTAAGCCATCTCGAGGCCGAAAACGTGGATTGTGTTGGTGCGTGGACAAGTATGGACTGAAGCTGCCAGGAACAGATTATGTAGCTGGAGACCTCCAGTGTCACAACTTTGACAGTGGCAACACTGAGTGAAACCCCCTCTTGCCTCTCTCTTTCTCCCTGCCAGAGTCCTTTCCACCCCACCACCCACCCCACACCTCACGATGCCCCAAGAGACTGATTCCTTTCATCTCATTTAAGAAACTGAGGACCTCGGAATCTACTGCGTGTCATCAACTTCTCTCAATGGCAGTGTCAGGGACTCAAGGAGAAAAGGCAACACCTTAAGCCAAAAAGAAAAAAAAACAGACAGAAATTAATGACGGCAATGATAATGGTGATGATGACGATGACAATGATAAGCCAGCCACTTCCCTGGGGAATATGGTCCTAAACAAATCCTACAACTTGCCTTTCTTGCATGTAACTCCGCACAACCACCAAGACAACACTGGTGTGAGAAGCCCTCAGAAGCACTTGAATTATAATTGAGTTTTTTGTCTTTTTCTTCTAAATATGAGTTTTGACCCTTTCGGAACTGAAAAATACTTAGTTTGATTAGTGAAATCCTAGTAGAAACAGGTCCCTGGTTTACCTTTATATGTTTGGTCACATTTCTTTCCTACCAGTTTCATTTTTACCTACCCAACCCTGTCCCCTAAGGCTAAAGCTCATTGACTCTCCTGCATGCATTCTTATATGTTCCCTGTGGGAGTATTTCCCTAGGCTGTTAATGAAAAGTCTGACCTGATGACTTCAGGTGGCACGATACATCCCTTTTCTGTGCAAACATGTACACATGGACACTTTATTGAACATGGCCCTTTCTTTACACACAGACCCTTTTGACTTCAATCATATGTGATGCCCCACAAACATGTTTGGAGTTACTCCTGTAAGTCAGAGGTGTTCAGGAGTATGTTACCTACAGGATTAGGACAGGTGATATTGTATAAAATATAAAAATAGTTTGAAGCAATACCATGCCATATATCCTGTACATTCTTCAAAGCATAACATTTTCCATGCATACATAAACACACCTGTGGATTTCCACACCCCACAGGCTAGTAGAATCGCCCCACTGCCTTTTTTATTGTAAGGAGGGGGGGGCAAACAATGCTTGTGCTTAACTGAAATATCCCAAACGCTGTTCTGCACAAGGAGAACTGGAAGAGATTAATATAAGATTTATAAAAATCAATCATATTACAAGTATAAATTTAGTCCACGGTTAGAGAAATATTTTACCACCTTTTGAGATCTCTGACATAAAATTTGAGGACCTCTGTAGACAGAGATCCTCAACTCTTCCAAAGTATACTTGAGTTACTGGCTGTGAATAGGTTGTCATTTTTTTTTCCTGACAAAGTCTCTTAATCTCTAAACAGCAGCTTGGTAAACCGAAATTCAATAGGTGTGATTTTTATCTCCATCAATGCATTCTTCTGTTGGGGAAAGCTACACCAATTGCATTTTTGTGAAATACCCAGTGTCTGTGTGAGGAACGAAAAAGTACTAATTCAACATAGCATGCATCAGGGCCTGCAGAAAACCATTGATTTGACAGCCTTCACATTCAGGCTTGGGCAGACCACTAAAGCCATTTTTTAAAAAGAAAGGTTATTATTGTTGTTTTTACTGTTGTTGCTGATTTTTTTAACTCCTTGGTGTGTTTCCATGGACACTGCCATGACAAGGGTCTTTCTTATGCCCGTAACAATGAATGAGAGTGCAAGCAGATGCCAAGAACAAAAGAAAGAAAGAATCATGCCTCCTTAGCATGGGAGGAATCGCTGAAGTATAGTAGCCATTAAGAGCCATTGGGCCTCTGCTGTAGATCTGAGGGTGGAAAAGAAAGGGAACCCTCGGTGGCCATTACCTGCTAGGGATGGACTCCAAAGGACTAGAGGACTCTGGTGTGGCTGGCTGCAAGCACTTCCAGACAACGTGCTGATCAGAAGCATGGAGAGAGAAGGAAGCTGTTTCCTGTGGGTAGGTGCGGAAAGCCTGCGCTGCCCGCCGAGTGTCAGAAAAACGTGCCATTGACAGGAGAACCGGAAGAACACACACAACACACATTCCCCCGGAACAGACGAAAGGGAAATGAGGAATCTTCCCAGCAGAACAGCTGCTGCATGTGAGCACCTGGGGCAGGTTTTATTCCTGCTCCCCTTCACCACCACCAGCCTCACGATTCAAATAGACTTGGGACAAAGGTTTTGAAGGCCAAGAGTTGATCTGGTTTACCCAGGGATCTGAGGTGGGGGGGAAAAACCAAGAAAGGGAGCTGGAGCAGAGGCAACATCTGGTCTCATTTTATGGAGGGGGAAGAAGACTTCTCCCAGTCTGGATGTGCTAAATCTCATTCTTTTGTGCAGAGACTGGGAATGATGTGGAAACGTTTAAAAAGTCATCCTATGGGGGAAAAACTTTCAAAGAATCCCTGCCACAAACATCAACAGTGCAAACAAAATCTACTCCATCCTTTGATCCATCGCTTGGTATTTGTTCCAGATACATACTTCTTGGCATACAGATTTCCAGAGACATGTGGATCACCTCCAGAGAGATTTCATCGTTCCCTTCCCCTGGGTATTTGGCGGCAGCAATGAGACTTGTCTTGTGCCTTTTCTCCTTAAGGTTTGGGGCTGAATTTTCCAAAGGCACCTGTGTTGCAAAAGGCAGACCTGTGCTTTGACTGGGGTGTTGGCTAATAAGAACAGCTGGACCTGGTCTTGTTTTGGGGGACACCCATCCAGCCCTGCTGTATGCAAGGTGTGGGAAGGTGAAAATGCCCCTTTCTTTGCTACTTGCATTTGGGTTGGTAGTTGACTCGATTGTTTGGCAACACCTTTCTCCTTAAATTGCAGAGTGTTCCACTTACTATAGCAGAACAATCAGGATAGTCAGTTACCCTGTCCAGACAATTCCTTGCCTGTTCCCCAGTGACCAGGATGGTATAGACCACTTCTGACTTTTGAGGACAGGACATGCTACACGAATGGACATCTGCATCACTGGTATATGAATGAGGAACATGTGCGTTCATGACATTGATGGAGGTGAGGGGGACCATTCTCCTTGCTTTGTTGTAGGTAACCTGGGTATCACTTTTTTACACTAGAACTTCCAGAAACTATTGGCTAGCAAAGCCAAAAGGTCCATCATCTAACCAGGGCATTCAGGGAGCCAGTTTTAAAAAGTTACTTTTCCAGGTTGGTTTTTTCCTAGCAATGGCCATCGGTCTGGTGCTTGTGCAAGAAGTTCGTATGCAACATTGGGGCTATATCTGTGGTCTTCTGTCAGATAAGAGTGAAAAAGTTTCAGGATTTTCTAGCAGTTGGTTTCAGCATGGGTCATGTCTGGAGGTTAGGATGAGCAACTTGCAGCTTTTCAGATATTGGACTGCAACATCCATCGTCTTTCCTGGTTGGCTATGCTAACTGGTGGTAATAGTACAGTCCAGAAACATCTAGAAGGACACAAGTTGTTTACCCTAGTTGTAGAAGATCATAGGGGACAGGACACTGGCAGGCATGAATATCTTGAGTGTACCTGCCTACTAAGGACTTCCCTCTTAGGGAAATACTCCTCGTAGGCAATATTCCAAAAGAGATTTAAAGTGGGATATCATTCATGAACTACCATGATGGCCAGCTGACAACAGCCAAAGCAGTAGGCAACAGAAGGCTTTGGTGTGATCCTGACATCCAGCGGTGATGGATTCAAAGAGCTCCTCTCCCTGTCCCTTCCATTATAGATACTGTATGTCTCTCTGTTGCATCAGAACAGAGGAAACAAAATAGCCTCATGGGACTGGGTTAGCTTTGTGCTGAAAACAAATCTCACAACTTTTGAGCTCTTGGAAGATGGTGGTTCCATTTGGCCCCAGGGTGAATGAAAGCGGGACTTCAGAGGGTGGATCAGAGCCATTTTGTTTACTCCAGGGCACACAATGGATGCTTTCTTTATGTGTCAGTAATATCTGGGAGGTGTCTAAAGTTAGGATGGCTTGTAGCTGGAGAAAGGCAAGGGCATTTCCATGTCTAGCAACCTTACTGTTAAAAGTAGATTTAAAAGGAGGAAGGGATGTGGAGAGAGATGCATGTATTAATCTATGTAGTGTGTTTGGGGCAGGAGATGTGCTGGGCGCATAAAGAAAGGAACAGGCTCAGATTTACACTGCAAATGTGTACTGGTTGGGGTTCAGTTTGATTACCATGGCTGTTCCTGGATTTTAGGGGAGGCGAGGGGACTGTACTTTGCTGAAAGTGCTGGGAATTCTGTTAGGCACTTCCTTGAAGAATTTCAGAGCCTAAGATGCGCTTAAAAGAGAAAATGACTTTTAAATCAGTGTAGGTCTGTGGCGCAAATATGCCTTTAACTGTATAAGATGAAAGAATGTCACTAAAATCCTTCCTCCCTCAGAATGTGGCACTTGTGGCACTCCTGGACTGGTTTCAGAGAAATCCATTCTTGCCCTCTTTCTTGATATTTTTTCTCAGTTTCCTGAAACTTGAAAACCTTTCCCTGTATTAAAAAAAAGGACCCTACTTATCTAGTGAAGAGGGTATAGGACCCCTCCCCCCCTTGATTTACATATACAGAGAGAGTCCAATCTGGAGAGGTTGGCTCAGAGTGAATCTCTCTCTGTTGCATCAGTACTCACAACTTCCCCTGAAAAGCAGGAAGGCTGCTGCCCTAACCCTCCTGCTAAGCTCCAGCTGCTTCATGGAAGACATCTGCTGTTCCTTTACTGGCCAGATAATAGAGAACTGATCTGGGAAGAGCATGAGTCTTATTTCAAAGCCTGAGCAATGTTTGCTTCAAGTGTAGGGCTTCTTAGAGGGCCGTGCCCCACATGGCAAAAGTGGTAAACCTGAACCCTGAGTGGGACGGCAGCTTAACTGGATTCAAGTATCTATCTACTGGCATGACCCTTGCAAAGTTTGATCAACGCCTAAGAGCACAGGAAAACTGCAGTGCGATGAGGCTGGTGATATTTTAAGAGCACCACAGTACCAGCTGTGGCTAGAAAGAAGAATGCCCAGTTTTGTTCTCTGTAGGTTTTGAATCATTAGCACAAGAGATTACAGGAACAAAAGTGAGGTTTGGGGGGGGCATTTTACCCCAACATAAGGGACTGTAAAATTTCTTATTCAAGGGCATCCATGATTTTGATCTTTGTCCTTTACTATGCCCACCATATCCTTTGTAGAATAATAGAGCCATTGAGTCCAACCCTTTGCTCAATGCAGGAATCCAAACCAAAGCAGAATCTCTAGGTTCATTAGCCTTTTGCAGCACATTGACTACAGTGCCCACTTCTAGCAACCCACAATCAAGAATTTTACTGACCATAAGCCACTGTCAGGTCAACACCATCTGCCACCTTTAAAAGAAAATACTGACATATCTATGGTGTTATAATGCTTTAAACATGGCCTCTTTCTAATGGAGTGGGCCACTTTTCCTCTCCTCTCCAGTCTTTTACTCTTCATATATCTGTACTCCTCAAAAGAGTCCTGCTGCATTAACTCTTGGAGGAGGTGAGTGTCCCTGAGAACTGGCTCTATTGTTCAGTAGCATGAAAAGGCCTCTCCTGAGCCCTGACTCTGAGTGCCCCAAAAGGGCAGCAAATTCTTAACTTTTTCATTCCTTTTTATTGCCATAGAAAGGCTGGGGGAGGGGTTGCCTCAGGTGCCAAACTTACTTGATCAGCCTTGGATACTATGCACCTTGATGGGGGGGGGGGGGGGAGAAGAAGAGGGCCATTTGCCCTGCTCAAGATACAATCTCCCTTGTTGACAAAGGAGAAGAGGCTTCCCTTGATTTTCTTCAAAGAACCTTCCTTCTGTCCCAGTTAGCAGATCAGGATAAGAGGAGATGGGGGACAAAAAGTTGATTGACAAAGCAGTGGGGAAGCCCGTTGAGAGACAACGCACACAACAGAAGCTCTGAAAAAGTTTTTGGAGGCTGATTTTCAGCAGGAGAATGCTCATGGCAGCATTGGTAAGCTTTAGCCTCTCAAGTGGTGTGCACTTTCCACACCTGTGGGTGGGAAATGAGGAGCCTATCAAGATCTCCAGAGGGTCCCACTGCAGCTGATGTAGCAGAAGGCAAGACAATACTTGAGGAGGGCACAGGCCACCTTCCAAGCCGAGGTCTTCCTTGCCCATGCTGCAGTGGACAGTTTTTATGTTGAAACCACTAGTACAAGAGCATATTGCACTATTTCTCCACTTCCTCTCGCTCTGTCTCCTGCACTTCCTCTCAAACAGAGCAACTACACCTTAAGCAGTTGACAGATCACTGTAGTCCCAGACCACCTTCCTGACATGAGCATCTTGGCTAACATGTGCAGGAGGGGAGGAGGGCCATGTGTCACTTCCAACTCCGTCCACTCTAAGCCCCTCCCACAACACCACTGGGACAGCTCTTCTACAAGGCAGTTGTCGCCCACAATTGCACAGCTGACTACACACAAGATTCCGAGTTTTCCTACCTGGTTTTAATCCTTATACAAAATTACTCACTACACATTTTACAGTAGCTTTTAATAGCTTTACATGCATACATACAGTAGCTCTGTGGATAGTTTGTTTTTGTTTTGCAGTAAACAAGAATATTCATACTCTTACCGGTGGGGGAAAAAGGCAGTTTGTGAAAAAGCTGACAATGGATGAGGAGTGTAATGCTCTGTTTAGCATTTTGTACTTTAAAAAAAATGAATCTCACATTTTATTAAAAAGTGAAGATTGCTGTATACTATTTATTCAACTTATAATTTATGTTACTCTTTGATCTTTGTCTTTTCTTATGACAAAGCATTTATTTAATAAAGTTATGCATTCAGTTAGTCTGTGTGCATGGCCCAGAGAGTGTCTGAGTATTGCATGTATGCTGGATGAGTAGCTTGCTAACCTGCACAGGGAGCTCACTTTCAACATTATTTCAAACTAGTCAGAGTCCCCAACATCATCCACAGGTTCAGATAGCTTTCATGTTGACACACCAGCTGAAAATAGCCTTTACAGTGACACACTAGACCCTCTCAAGCAAAGTTCAACAGATGTCAGACTTGGAAACATTCTACCCACCTTATTAGAGAAATGTCCCGCCCACTGGCATTCCTGGCACATCCCTTGCCAAGGTGTATTAACCCCAAAATGGAGAGGTCTATCGACTCCATGCCCATGAGGCTGGCTTTCCCACCGTGGAGGGCACCATAGTAACTTTAGTCCCCTGCTATTCCCCACTGATTTCAAACTGAATGGACAGCATATTTGTATTGGGGCTAGGGATATTTGCTACCTTGTAGGCAGAGATGATGCTGAATGGTTCAAATACATCTCTATACATGGCTTGCCTACTCCCTACCTCATTCTTGTGAAGTAAATCATGCCAGCTGTGTGTAAGTGGCCCAATGTCATATTGAGCTTCCTGGCCAAGTGGGATTTCAACCCCAGTCTTCTGAGCCCTTGTTCAGTACTCTTGTAATTACACCTCACTGACTCTTTAAAATCAACCTCCAGATAAAAATACTCAACTTCCTCAATGTACACATCAAGTTACAGGTATCTAATTTTCAGGGTCTTGGAGCTGCAGCTCTTCAAAACAAAACAAAACACACATCCTCTTTAGTATATTATGGGCTATATCCAATTATTAGTCCCAAACTAGAGTAGACCCATTGAAGCCAAGGGAACTTAGGCAAGTCAACCCTGATATAAGCCCCACTGATTCCATGAGTTTTAACTCTGTGGGGCTGACATCTTATTATTATACATTACAGAGTCCCTTCACGGGACTCTGTGTGGATGAATGGCTTTTAAACTGTAAGGATCCTGAGGGATGTCACGTGCAGGAGCCCTCATTACACATGCACCAGTATTCTTCTGAGGAAGGACCTGGCTATTTTCACAGCAGCACTTAGAGGAATTTACTTTTCCACAGAGCAAACCACAAAAGCGTTTCATTTATACAAAAGTATTCCCAGGGCAGCTGTCATTACCATTAGGTGGAAGCGAAACCTACTCCATGATGACCCCAAACACCAAAAATCTAGAGCATAGCAAGATGTGCCACGTACCTCAGTATTGCCTGCTCTGATCAGAAATAACCTTCTGGGGTATCAGGCCGAAGTTTTCCCTATCACCTTTCACCTGTGTTTTTTCACTGGGAATGCCTAGGCTTTAATGGCAGACCCGCAAGGGCAAATTATGTCCCCCACCACTGAGATACTGGCTTTCTGCTGCCCACTGTCATTTTGAACCCTTCAAAAGCTTATGTTTAACAGCACTTGAGAAGTTTGAATTAGGGTTAAACTAATTGTTTGGGACCACGCAAAATCTGACTTACTTTGTTTTGGGATCTGTATTTCGTACTTCAAACTCAAGAGGTAAGTGTGTTTTAAATGGCAAGGGGATTGTGGGAGTGAAATTCATTGACATCAATTTCAAAAAGCAGGCCCTGCAGTCGAAAATAGTTTTCTTTAGTATTAACACATGCTGGGAGAGAGCATATCATACACTTTGAACCAGCACAAGACATTTTGCTCATTGAGACAAAGGATAAATTTGTCAAAACCCTGCTGATGCAGGAAATCCATACCTATCCTGAGCATTCCTGCCAGATGGCTATCTAACCTCTGTTTCAAAACCTTCAATGAACATCTGCTATGGAAACAATCAGTTACCCTGTCAAACAGCTCTGACATCAGGAAGCTCTTCCTAGGCCAAAATCCAGCTGAAGGGAAAAAAATCACAAGCAAGAAGTAGTAGTGCAAGTGGTTTCCTTGTTTCTTGGGCTTCCAGTCATGTACTTAGCCATGTCACACCCAGGAAGATCAGGGATGGGGCCAACAGTCCAGGACATTGGTTGCCTTACTCAACTGCATGGAGCAACAGGATTCTCTCCCTCCTGTTTAACTGGAATCTCCTTTCTTGTAAACTGAACCCATGGGTTCAGTCCTACTGTCTGAAGCAGCAGACTCCAAGCCATATACAGCAGCTTTTCACATATATGAAGGTGGCTATCATAACTACTAAGTCTTCTATAGACTCTGACAAAAAGGGCTACAGGGCTGTTGCATGCCATTATTTATCACCAGAGGAGCTTGTCTCACTGTGCCAAATGGCATGGCTTGCCCTGAACAACTCAATTTGGCCCCTAAGCAAAGGAAATGTGGGACTCTGTTCTCACTGTAGGGTCAATCTTCCAAGGGTTCTTCCACGTATTCAGCAGAAGAAGCTGCTGGGTCTAAAACAGAGTCTATTTGCCTTGCTTAACAGCTGGTTACCATCATGGAAGACTCTGAATACCTTCCCAGTTATCTGATAAATCAGTATCTGGATGAAGATAGTGCAATGACAGCAAGTGCTTGGATCCAGTAGGCAATCCCATTGGATCTAAAAACTGGATTTAGGCCACACTTATTTATCCACAGAGCTTTTCTCAGAAGACTTCTCCTGCTATAGGGAGATCACAACCATCAGCAATATTCTGATGCCAGGAAAAGGAAGAAGATTCTATCCCTGTCTCCCACCCCAAACCCAATAGAAAATAAGAGCAATGTATACTGAATTTATTGTGAGAATAAATAGCTCCTATTTGAGATGACAGATGCTATAAATGCATCCTAAAGTCATAGTCACTGATCTTCCAATGCTTAAGAAGCACTTAATGGTGGGGGGGGGGGGCATCAAATCCCATACATTCCTTTTCTTTTCTTTTTTTGAAATGTCAGCAGCTGCAGTTTAACTTCTCACCGCATGAGGGAAGAATGAAACCAGAGCTCTTCTTAGAAGGACCAATCCTCTGTGGTAGAAAGCAGCATGCTCAAGGAGGACTTTGCACTGCAGATGCTTGTCTGTGTTCTGTGCCTTTCAGTTCGAACTTAGCAATCCTAATATAATTTTTAAGGCATTTAGGGTCTTTAAGTAGTAGTTCTACCATTGCCATCTCCAAGTGAGTTTCCATGGCCAAGTGAGGATCAAACCCTGGTCTCCTAGGTTCTAGACCATCAGTCTATCCACAACACAGATATGGGGTGACCTATATACAAAACCATGTGGAGCACTATAGAAGCCAATCGATTAAATGGGTATATGACAACCTGAAGTCCCCTTTTCAGCACGCATTAGTTGATCACCCCAAATGACAAGCCCTGCTCACTCCCACCCCTTAATCCTTATTCTGTGCAAACAGGGAGGGATGGAAAAGGTGGCTTGTTTGAACTACAGCTCCCAGGCTTCCCAGTGACCATCCAAGCTGGCATATTCTGGGAGTTTAAAAAATTAATTTCCCAATCTCTGCCATTAAATATCTTTCTTTACCATTGGCCTCTTGGGCGTAGGATCAGAAATCTATGGCTCTTGACTATGGCCTTAGTTCACTGGCAAGAATTCTCAGCTTCCTCCCAAAACTACACTTCCAAATGTTCATTGGCGAGGAACCCCTTGGTGGGTAAATGGTGGGATAGAATCACCCTAAATATTTACTGATAGACTGCACATATGTTACAAGGGAAATGAATCAGGACATGGCCACCATGGCTACAACCACTAATAATAATAATAATCATGTGCTGTCAAGTCAGGTCTGATCGATGGCAAACTTTTTCAAGGTTTTCCAGGTAGAAAGTACTCAAAAATGATTTACCATTCCCTTCTTCTGGGAATATCCTGGGATTGTGCAGCTTGCTCAAGGCCAGGAAGTCTGGCTCTTATCCTTGGAGGCACAGTGGGGAATCAAAC